AAATTAAAATAAGTATTGCTTTCACTACCTTTACCCTGCACCAATAAAAAGACCCGCAATGCAATGTGCTCTGTTATGCTGTAAGGCAGGCAGGAAGTAGTGAAAGAAGAGCGCGAAAGAAGGGAAGAGGGTTTCTTCCTCCTTCCCATTCTCTTCTGTTCGTCAAAGGCCGGATAAAAAAAGTCGGTGAAGAAATTTGATGAATAGGTCATTTTCGATATATCAATATTCAAGGTATCTCGGAGAGCTTCATACAATTCCTTATAATCTTATGATAAGAAATTGTATGGAGCTTTTTTGGCGTTAGTCGTGACGTGGCGGGTGTTGTCGCGTATGACCCTTGCGAGGATCATACCGTGACAACACCCGCCGCGCCTCGACCAATGTTAAAAAAAGCTCCATACAATTCCTTATAATTTATCTATATTTAACAATTATTCGCTGGGCGAGGTGAATATCGTCGAATCCCCGAGACGAAGTCGAGGGGATTATTCGACAATATTCACCGAGCCAGAGGCGAATAATTGTTTTAGTATAATTTCAGAGCTGAACAACAGAGAAATTTCTAAAATCATAACAATTTAGTAACATTTATCAACATTTTATTTTAACATTTTATATAAACCGCGTGGAGCGGGTATATAAGGAACCGCTCGACCAATCAGATTGCTGGAAACTCTTTGTTCAGCTCTGAAATTATACTAAAATTCCCTATAATTTTATTAAAAGGAACTGTTTAGAGCTCTTCGAGATACTTACAGTGCAAGCCCTGTGTGTCTTCTCATGTTCTGTTACTATTCCCTGGAAGCTTTTAAAGCATCTGCCTTACACAAATGATTTGTTAAATGAGATCAAGAAAACAAAAAAAGACAGATATTTCCTCTTCTAATTTGCGAAAAAAACTTGAATGAATAACATTTTTCCCTCTTCGCGATCTGGCAGAATTACAAAAAAATCTGCAAACTCTCAATAGTTCCGGGAAGAATCTTTGTGCTGAATTACGGTTTGATATTTCTTTACTAGCTGCTTGTGCAAAATAAAAGTAAAATATCTTGATCGATATTGAAAATAAGGTCTTGAAAAGCCATACTATGTATTTACCCGTCCGGTACGACCAAACTTAGTCATTAAGTATCTTATCATATGACCACTAAGTGTTGAAAATCTAACATAAATAGGACGCGATAGACACGCAAGTGCAGCCAAATGAGCGCTTAAAAATGATACAATTAAGACGTTCCTTTTATTTTTTTCGAGTCAATACAAGAAACTCACAATTCCTTAGAAAGCGCGGCTTTTTTTCCTCATTTCTGTTTTCCTTTAAATTTTTTGCAACAAAGCGACGTGTGGGCAGGAGGGCCTGGCAGTTATTTTCTGCTCGGCTCACGTCCGGCCCAGCACAAGTCAGCTTTCACTGTGGGATTGCGCAAGCGGGGCCGGACGGCCTTTTGATAAAATATTAAATAGCAGAGTTCATAATTGTTGTTGATAGTTTTTTTTTTTTAATTTTATTGTATTTATCTATTTAGTTTTTTGCCACAGGATGTTAGAGATGAATGGCCAGTGATTTCAGGTGTGACAGAGCTAAAAAGCTTTGAACCTTGATGGGAAACGGAAAATTGCCGAATATTTGTTCAACATAATGGTAGACAAAAGGACTTTGCGTGCCTTGTACTGTAGTTACGGGTTTGGTTGTTACTCATGTAAACATTTTCAAATTTTTGAGGGAGAATAGATTTTTTCGATGAGAACATCAACTGACCTAGCTGTGTCAAATGAATGTTTATGTGAAATTTCGGAAAGTCTCTTGAAAATAGAACCGGTATTAACATCACATACACACTTTCTAATCATCCTGATAACACTTTTCGCACGATCACAAATTCAAGATTTGCTTAATGGCTTGATACTCCAACTAAATTACAATAACGATGGTGTGGGACTAACATTGTTTATAAAGCAGCTGGGAGTCTTGTGATGAACAAATTGCATTTGATTTTAATTGCCATCGTTGCTTTATTCAAAAGCCGAATATTTCGCTTCCTGCTTATCAATTTGCGGTAGAAGAATTGCATATGAAGTGATTTACAAAGACTGGGTAAAAGTGGCCAGACATGTAATCGATTAACTTGCAGTGAGTCGGTAATAAGAAAAAAGAAAATGTTTAAGATAGGCACATCCGTGCGTGGATGAAAGTACACATACTAAGGTTGGAACTGTTTTTCGCCGGATTATCACTGACTTTGTTTGTTGTTTGCTGCGAGTGAACGCTTATTGAAGCATGGTAAGAAAGGTTGTCAATCGGAAGGTTCAGTCGATCATCAGTTCAGTTAATTCATAATTATTTTACTGCATCTATTGTTGGTGAACAGATGGCTTCTTGAGAAAGGTTTTAGTCAATGATGAAAAATACTGGCAAATTCTGGATATCAGGGAAGGCTGCAAAACCAATGAGGAAAAATCTGATAGGAATAAAATTTAGAGCCCATGTTTCTTGCTAGCTTCTGAGCCCTAATTGATGTTTGGTTTAATCGTGATGTCAATGGGAAAGCAAGTAATCAATTCCTTTTCGTTAAGTTTTTTCCTATGACGGAAAATTGGTGTTGATGATTAGAATTTTAAGCTCAACCCCACGGAACAACAATTGCGGCAAAAGCTATGTTTGTTTTTGTTTTTCATATTTTAGGCCTTCGTTCTTATTTTCTCTTAAACGGTGAAAACAAGAGCATTTTAAATTTGAACTTCCGCCCACGATTGGTAAATCATGTAAGACGAACACATTGCTGGTTCAGAATCTCAATTCAGTAGCCCCGTAACATTGCCCTTTTCGGCAAGGACACAACGAACACATAACAGCCGCTTTATGGGTAACCGTCGGCCATCAGATCAGCTATCGTGTCTATAAATGTTTGCCCAGACTTCATCTAGGATTTGATAAACAGTATAGAGATTCCCTTGATTTTGTGGTTGATAAGCTATTTACTGAGAGCTGAAAAGGAATCCAGATTACAGTTCAGAAAAAAATGTCACTTACGGGGTGTTGGGTGCACAATAGCACCTGCAGGCGACTAAACCGAAAAAAACAAAAACAAACAAACAAAAAAAAGACTTCTTTTTATGAAAAGGTTTCTTTATCGTACGTCCCACTGAAAAATTGGGCTTTTCTAATGATTATGACCTTCAAATGAATGAAGGGGGGTGATTTTCTAAAGAAACTGTGGTGCTGCCTCTGCGGGGGGTATTTCAAGATAATTTGTTCTTATGAACAGAGTTGATTGTTAAATTTTTTAAGGCGACCAATTCACATTATCAACTCAGTAAAATTATCAATTACCAAATCATTATGGCCCCTAGTTTGGTTTGATTTTTGTTTTATAAAGAGCCACGTAAATTCACCTCAAGGTAGGCGTTAACGATAAAATGGAACGTTTTCCGGTTAATTTTCGTAACACTGAGATCTGAATAATCACAGAGACCAATGAGATCAAAGGAAGATATTAAATGCGACCAATGAGAAAACAGTGCATTTT